AGTGCTCAGGGCCTGTGGTCTGTCTGACTCCCGATGACCCTTTGTCTTTAGCCTCGGTTCTCTGCCTTCTCTGGCCATCTCTCTACCTCTCTCTTCTTCTTGCCTTGGTCACTCTCAGACTCTACAAATAATTACTTCAACCACAAGCAGCCGGAAGCCTTGCTGCTTTCACAGCTCGGACTGATGGCTGCGCCACTGTCACTGCCAAAAACAGGTTGTTGCCTTGCCATAGCCCTGTGGTTTCTCTGCTTCTTTGTGTCATCAACCCACTCATGCTACTAAGTAGGCAAGAAAAGATCTGTTGGGCCTGGTGTAACACCACGGAGGATGGCACAGGAAAGTGTCCCCAGCAGACTCTCAGAGTGAGCCTGGGCAGCCTACTTATATATAGCTCAAAGGTGGTTCTGTACCAATCACAGCCTTTCCTCTTTATCACCAGTCAGCACTCCTGGGATGGACACTCAAGGGAAGTGCTCTGGCTCTGACCAAATGGAAATGTTTGCAGGGTCATCTAAAGTTCACAGAAGCTTGTGATGAGTACAGACTTTGAAATGGCCCTGGTTGGGGCAACTTTGGGGGAGAGTGGCAGCAGTCAGCTATGATCCTCATGCAGCTTCCTCAAGGACTCCACAGATGCTCAAGATGGCTAAGGGTAGTTCAGTTGTCTGTTTGACCAACTTTCCTTTTGTTCAAGGCAGCCGAGGCAGAAAGGAAGAGTCTGAGAGCTGCCAATCAGGGTATCAGATCACAGCTACATCCTGTGTGCATATTTTCCAGGCAATGATCTTAGAACAAGTGCTAACAATACAAACTTAGAGAAGTTATCTTTAACACTAACAGTTTTGGTTTTGTTCTGTTGTTATTGTTTGTTTTCATTTCTTGCAGATATTAACAGTGCTTCACAACTGCCTTGTGCCCCAAGGCTCCCTCCTCTGTTTCATTACATCTACACTATCTAGATGACACCATTGGTGTTTCCTTAGCACCCACAGGAGTGGCTTGATTGTGGTGACATGATCATTTAAAGTTTAGCCTCATTTGCCGGATTTACACTTATGGGTGCATGCTGATCACTGTCCTGAGAGATAAAAAGAGCCCCAGCCTCATACAAATGACTTACTCCCCCTCCCCACTTCATAAGTATTTTTATTTTTCCCATGCCCGCTGTCCATGAGTAGTATCCTCAGAAATGAGGCTGGCAGGTGTCACACCCACACCTATCCCGTCTCAGTTCCCACCACCAGCTTGAAGCAGGTTGGCCCCAGTTTCCTGGGCTGTATCTGCATTGAAGGAGGAAAAGCTGTTCTTCCTCAGATGCTGCTGTAAGGTTGAAGCCTGTTCCGCTCCCAGCTCCCTGGACACGCAGCAGCTACTGCATCTACTTCAGCTGACACGCTCTGCATTTGGTCAGGACACACTGGGGTTTTCATGAGAAATAGTGGCAGCTTCCATAGTACTGAGTTCTCAGGATGAAAATGGCAAGGTTCAAACCCTATAAAAGCACTTGAAAACCACGAAGATGGATCCCAGTAAGATTCCACTAGAGCCCCTTGCTACCTAACAATGTCCAGGAAGTAAACTCACTAAGACGGGCTGGCTTTGCTATCTATCACACAGAATGGTCCCTTGCTCCATCCTTCAACATGACCATAATTGCAGGGCTGTACGCCCCTACAGGGGTGTGTCTTCCCTTCAGCCTTTCTCAGAAACACTTGTGTGGACACAAAACTCATGTAGAGAATGATTTGATCCACATGAAAAAATTAATAGAAAGCCAGCAGCGTTCACACCTCCAGCCTCTGACCGACCTGTGCTGGGTTTTCATCTTTGACATATTCATACTTAGCTATGAGGCAGGCATGGTCATCGCCTCCTCCGTTGCAGTTAAGAACCAGATCATAAAGAAGTAGATGACATTTCCAAAGCCGCTCAGAGAGAGAGACCCACAGTGTCCCCATATACCTCTAGGCTCTCAATGGCTATCTTACCAACTAACAGTACTTACAGTACCACTCAGTACTGTGTTGTCCTCTCTGCTTTTGTACTTGATTCTCAAGCTCACTTCTGGAGTAATGTGGGATGTTTGTGCTGTTTACAAAATTCATACCAAGTGGTGGCTTAAAACAAGAGACTTTCTGTTCTGATGCTCTGGAGCCCAGGTGGCAGGGCTGTCTCCCTCCAGAACTCCTGGGAGGATCCTTCCTACTCTTCCAGCCCTGACAGCTCCAGATGACCACTGGCCAGCAGGCCCCTTACTCAACCTCTGCTCCATTGTACATGGCTTTGCATGTGTGTCCTCTCCAGCTTCTCAGAGACCCTTGTCTGGATACAGGCCCTGGTAGAGAGCAGGAAGTGAACTGCTTAGTCTCAATCTCAGCCTGCTCATAAGGCCCCTTTACCCTGGGTTCACACCCTCCTGAGGGAGGACATGAGCTTACCTTTCAGAGGATGACATTTGATCCTCAACAAACCCTAGGTCACCATCACTCCTGGCAGAGAAAGCCACAGTACACATTTCAAGAAGTAATTCTTTGTTTTTTTCTTTCTTAAAAATGAGCTTCTGACTTGGGTTGCATGGGACGTCAGCAGGTCACCTTACCCGTCATGGAGATGCCTGCCCAGGCCACACAGGTGCTCTGTCTTAGGTTGGTGAGTGCCCCCCAGGCATTACCCATCTCTGAATACTCATTATCATACTGGCTCAATCATGTGTGAGCTGCATGGTTAATTGCTGCCAAAGATCTCAAAGTGGCACTGGGCTGGCAATCTGTGTGTTCAATACAGAAAAGACCAACAGAGGTCCTAACCTACCCATAGCCAGTAGGCTAAGGGCAACTGAGCCATTTTCTTCAAGAAGTAATTCTTAAGGACTTCAAAAAGTCCCCAAGTTCTATAGGCTGTAGCCAGCAAGGGAAGCCAGAAGGACCTCAACCTGGTCTGATGAACCACCTGGGCAGCTGGCCTGAAGCTACTGTCTCCAGCTCCAAGAGCCTTCTGAGGGTGTGGTGGTTTGAATGAGAATGTCCCCCCTAGGCTCATATATTTGAACATTTGGTTCTCGGTTGGTGGTGATTTGGGGGGAGGTGATGGACCCTTGCTGAAGGAAGTACCTCGCCTGGGATGGGCTTTGAGTGTTTATAGGATCACCATACTTCCAGTTTACCCTCTCTGCTTCACACTTGCCTTGGAAGAAGCTCTCAGATTCCTGCTCTGGCCTCCATACATGTGTACTGTTTGCTGCCATGCTTCCCCCACCATAATGGAGTCTTAGAACCTCTGGAACCATAGCCCCAAAATAAACTCTTCCATAAGTCACTTTTGGCCATAGTGTTTTATCCTAGCAATAGGAAGTAATTAAAACAGAAGGTAAGGTCCTCTCTCTGAGGATAAGCCCTCACAAATTAAGATGAAATAACAGGGTACTGCTATGGCAAAGAGCACCGACTGTGTGCACAAATGCATAGAGATATTATGGGTGAGTCAGGCCACAGAGAAGGACACCACAGTCCCACAGCAGGCAGGTGGCCACCTATGTCTATCTGGAACAGGTAGACCAGATGGAGCAAAGGTCATGTTGGCCAAGGATCAAGAACATGAAGAGTTCAGATTGATGGCTGTTTGGCAGATGCTCTACTGCCCAGCTATGGCATTCACCCATAGCAACTCCCAAAGCAGCAGCAATTTCTAGTAAAAACACAGTTAAGTGTATTTTCCAGTTCTTGTCTCTTCCAGAGAGCGACTTGGTGGTCGGCATGTCTCCAAGTTCCTTCCAGAAGGTAGCATGATGGCCAATGCTTCCAAATAGATGTTGTGGAATACCAGCTTTCTCTTTTTGCCTTGGTTTCCAGGATGCTCAGATACACTGTTGCCACCTTCTTCAGGGCCTGTGGAACAGTGCTACAAATCCAGCTACTCGAGAGGCTGAGTTGGGAAGATTGCAAATTCAAGGTCAGCCTAGTCAATTTAACATGACCCTGTCTCAAAAATATAAAATGTTAAGGAACAGAAAGAAAGGGAAATGAAATCATCCACTTAATAAAACACTCTATTCACATTCAGGATCTGGCATCTGGCATGAATCTCCAGATAAGCCAGGATGCACACTTTGCAAATCACAGAGATTACAGTTATGGGACCACCCCAGCAAGGGCCAAATGACCCTCTATACTAGCAACTTTTCTATTGCTGTGATAAAACATTATGACTTGTGATTCGAAGACTCAAACACAAAAGTTCAACATGTTCTGCCTTGATGCATGATGATACTTTCATTGTCGCCTTATCATATTTATATTATAAAAAGATAATAAACAAAAGAACTGCGAGAGTTTACTTGGCTCTCTGCAGGAAATGCTGTTTGCCAACAGGCCCTGGATCTATTGGAAGCCCAGAGATGCCCTGGCCTTGGCTGAAAACAGTGTCTCCCAAAAATCACAGCCAATTTGGGCAATAAACACAGAGCATACATTGATCACCTGCTGTATCTTCTGCCCAGAGGTGATTCAGGGATGAAGACAGAGACGTTTGAGAAGCTGATGATGCTGTCATTCACGTTGAGATGCTCTCCTGAGCTCCACATGAGCAAGGGTCAGGACCAGTCACAGAATCGGCTTTCATCTTTCCTTTGGTGCTCCTATCAGCACAATTCTCAGAATCCATAGAAGTTTCTCTCTAGAGTACCCTACAACTCCGTTCTACCAAGCAACCCCCAGGCCTGGCTGGTCCTATGGAGATGTATGTTGTAGGAGCGGGTTTTCCTGCACAGTTTAAAATCTCTTCTGTCTATAAAGCATCACCCCATCAATAACCCAGACATTCACATCTGTGCCAGTCCGTGATCACCCACCCACCCCTACCCTCTGGCACTGAAGGCCCCTTCTACAAACACAGGCAGAGGACTGCAAGGAACCTGTCTGCAGTGCCTGGGCCAGTCCAGACAACCGCAGAGCAGATGGATGGCACTCCTGACAGCCCTGCCCCGGCAGGGTCCTGATCCTTGGGCTCCAGAGAAAGCCGGCACGATGGCTAACAGGCTTCCTGGAAATGAAAACATCATTTCTCCTTCCGCCCATCTCAGCGAAGCCTGAGACTGCCTCTGATAATTAATCCTCTGGGAGAAATCGATACTACAACTGCTTGAAGAAGAAACAACCCATGGCAAAATAAACTTTGCAAAGACGCTTCAGCGGCTTCTGCAGGAGCATGCCGTCGTCTGCTTCAGATATAGAAGCCACACACATGCTGCCTTCCTTCTGAAAGCAGCCCCACCCCCAGAGGCAGCTACCCCAAACCACTCTATTCAGTGAAACACTGGTTGTAAATGAGGTCTTTGTTCTCCAGGCCTTGATGAGCTGTTTTCTTTTTCCTGTGGGTACACAGAAAGTCTCTACCTCTGATAGTCAGAAAGAGCCTGGAGGAGCTACCGACATGATGGGTTTATGGATGCTGAGGGAAATTCAGATTTATTCTATGGTCCTTTATAAACCCAGGGTGTTGTTTTGTCCCATTTTTCCTTGTGTTTCACATTTAGCTGTTATTAGTATTCATTTGACTTCTGCTTCAGAAAGCCGTGTTGAGGCACTGGCATACACTGGCCACACACCACACTTCAGCCTGTGATCCATTGTCAAGTGTCAGCTTCACAAGAGGCTTGAAGGAGATTAGTTGAAAACTGAACCAATCAGAGCAAACCCCAGATGATGGCTGATCATTGAGCTTTGGGGAAGAAAGTACCATGAAAACGAAGTTCTCTCACTGGGCAATCTTTGGGATCCTCCATGGCCAGCTCTACCTGGGTTCATGGGTTGTCTAAGGAGACAGAATGCATTGAACATTACCCTCTGTTTGGCACCCGACCATGTTCAAAATGCAATCTGGAGGTATACTAACTTGATACTGGTATGTTGAGGAAGGAACATGACCATGGAAAAACACTAAATATCTTTGTTTCCTATAAGTAAACTTTTCGTTTCTGTAAGATCAGTAAACTTCATATGCAAAGTAAAAATTACTGCAGTTCAGTGTACATTCCTCCAGAATCCGAGCTGAGGTGATCAGGCAACCAAGTTTGGTGTTTTTGTTATTGTTGGGTGTTTGTTTGTTGTTTTGTTTTGGGGTTTTTTGGTGTTATGATGTGCAGTGCTCAAGACCTATGTTGTATGTTTCAGAACTGAGGCTGCAGTGGAGTCCTGTGATGTACCATGGCCGGGGACACCTTGGAATCCTTACACATCTGACTTCTAATTAAGTTCTGGTCATTGCATGTTAAGAAATTTTTAACTGTTGCCAAATTTTCATGACCCTTGCGTTCAGTTGTATGTGTTCCCCCCAGGAATCATGACCCACAGTCTAAGAAGGTATCTGAATGCTGAGCACCCTCCTCAGTGAAAGAAGCTGAAATCAAAGCAGTGGCGTAGCCGGCTAGGGAAACGGTGTGTGAAGCAGGTAAAGATGTGGATTCTTCAAAAACAGAAACCTCTGCAGCAATGAGCACAGAGTGCACACCGACACATTGCATGTTTCTCTTTCCCATCCTGCCATGGAGCAAGGTGAGATTCATGAGTGTGTGTATATATTACAGGAAAGTGGAAGTGAACCTGCTTCAGAGTTGTTGAGGGAAAGAAACACAGAGTTTGTGACAGGAAAATGTCCTTGAAAACCCGTTACTAGGAACAATGAATGCATGACAATGTAAAAAAGAAAAAAAAGAGACACAAAACCCACAAGTTTATCTGGGCAGAGTGGGGAAAAGAACCCTGCTTGCAGGGGCAATCCTGTTCCAATCTGATTCTGTCCTGCCTGGGTTCCCTCTTCTGCACTGTGTCCCCGCTGCAGGCAACGCAAAACTTAGAGGAAATTCTGTACTCTCATTCACGCCTCCTGCAAAAAGCATGTCACAGGCTCAGTTTCGCATCCTTCAAAAGTCAAGGGCCATGCTTACTCTAAAATTACACAAGGCTTCCTCCTCTTCTTACAGGCCCTCTAATTGACATCCAGAAAGTTCGTCTGTGAGGTCTCCTGCCCCCCCACAACCACCCTACCTCCTCAGAAGCACTGTGCCATCTCCCTGGAGCTCAGGATAGATTGAAATGGTTTTGGAATCTCCCTCTGGGGGGATGCGAGAGCTCTTTTCTTGGCAGAAGTTGGTTTTCCGATATTGATTGCTCCCCGCTCACCTGCAGCCGCAGTGCCGCAGTGGCTGCATTTATTTATAATGCCGCAGCAACACCAGCTCCAATTATAATCATTAACTTGACAAAACTGTAACCACCGGGCAGAGCGAATCTCCAGAGCGGCCACTGTAGCTGTAGTCCCCTGAGAGGTGTATTGGGGAGGAGACAGCTGGGGAGAGGGTCTGGAAGAAGCTAGGGCAGGCACAAAGGGGCTTGTGTCCAGTCCTGATAGTGGGTCCCTGCACTTGCCACTCGACAGGAGGGATCCTTACACACAAGAGTCCTCAGTGTAGCCCAGGACTTTGTAACACAAAAGCAAGCCCTGGTACATTGTCCAGATTGGTGTGGCCACGAAAGGGACCTCTAGGAGTGTATGCAAATAGGTTCACGTGATGCTCTGCTATGAGCATGCCTCCCAGTGGCCCTGGTTTTGCGGTAACAGCACTGCCTCCCCACACATGCCCTTCCTCTCTGCTTGCTCTGGACACTGCCCACGAGCCCTGGTCAGGAGACCAGCGTCAAAAGTAGGTGGATTCTGGAGCTGATGGATGGGGGCTTCTCGGATTTGCCTCAATTATCCACAAGCAAAGGCTGTTATTCTTCAGCTACAAGTGGTAGTCATGTCTGAGTGGCCCTGTTTGTGAGGCTTTGCCCTGGCTTGTCCACTTAAAAGATCATTAATCACCGCCCCAGTTTATAAATCACAGAGGCCGGCTCACCGTGCGCAATGATGAGGTTGAAGCGCCCAGGAGTACTTAGCGAATTCCCAGACCCAGCCGGCGCTCTTTCTCTCCGCCTCCAGCAGCCCGGCCATCCATCATCCTGCACCCACTGAGGCAGAAGCACGGTGACAGAAGAATGCCTGGGAGCCAAACAATATGATCGGTTAAGACGAGGGCCGGGGAGCTCTTTAAAGTTTCCAACCAGTTCCTTAGCCTTTTGTGTTAGCAAAACCTATTCATTTCGGGATTTGGCAGTTCAAATTATTTCAGACAAGACCCCAAGACAAATGGCTATATGATAGAGTCACACAGGCACAGTGGCAGCTAGGCGGAAAAAAACGGAGGCTGCTCCCGGTGAGTGATGGGTCAGGAGGCTTGGCATCCACTTGGTTGCCTCCTCTGGGCAGCACAGACCACCGAGGACGGCTAGTACCTTCCAGAACTGGAGAACCCTCCCAGGCTCTTCAATGCATTTGCCCAGAACACATGTGTGGAGGTTTAGAGGGCCTGGGGCACAGACTGTTACCGCAGTTAGCTGTAGCAAGCAACAGCAAAGAAGCCAGCAGGGGTTATTTTCTTTCCTGCTTCACATTCCCTGCTAAACCAGCTTTACATATTTCCAACATTTTTCCCCTACAAGGAGAAAACACAAATTGTCCATTGTCCAGAGGAAAGTGTGAGAGACGCACTTAAGTGGAGCTGACAGCTCCCATTTCCCGCGCTCTGGCTGAGAGTGATTTGAACGGCTGGGAAATTGTGTTTGAAGCAATGTAATGACGTGTAATAATTTCCTGTCGGCGTGTCAATGAGAAGCCTAAAGAATGGCATGGTGGCATACATGGGCTACCACGGGAGAGAGGTGGGCGTGAGGGAGCGCAGGATGGGAAGGGTTAGGTGGGGCCTGGGGTTGTAGAAATCCATGGAAGCGGAATTGTAAGAAGTAGGTAGGAGGGCCTGAGAAAAGCTGGCTGGGGAGCAGCCCTCAGCGTCCTAATCCATCTGGCTTTCCCACCAATTCTATGCAACTGTCTCAAGCCACCACTCCTAGGCAGGGACCACTTGGCAAGCCTGGTAGCTAGAGTGAGAAGAGGCTCGGAGACTGGGTAGAAGCTAATCCCACCAAAAGTCTCCCCATTCAGAAACCGTCCCTGTGACCCACAAGCATGTTTTTACTGTTACCTGGACCCAACCAGGGGAAAACCCACGGTGCGTATGGAGAAAAAAAAAACACAAACCTAAATAGCCAAGCTGTTTCTGCATGCCTGTCTCAAGGAAGTGTCTCTGCATAGCCCAGAAAAGGACACAGTCCCTCAACCTGTGTCCCACCTTCAGCTCAGAAACAGGCAACACTTGGGTCTTGCCATGTGCTCATCTCACTTCTTGAGAGGAAGCTCACAGAGTGGTTTGTGACCTGTCTTTGCCATGGGAACCCTGAGTCAGCCCTCCAGCCAGACCAGTGACCACACACAAGGCACCCATCTCAGAAGGAAGCCCCGGGGGACAGGCCTGCTGATCCTGTCACTCAGCGTGATGTCCTCAACATGAGCCAGTGACTGCTCTGAGACCCCAGGAATCTGTCCTCACTCTAGAACTCACCGGCTTCAAAAAGCAGACCCTGGCAAGCTCAGGGTGGAGCTGCTCCTGGCCACCGTTCTCTGAAGAGCCCCGAGGCCGCCTAACTGCCTCGCAGAATGAGGGTGACAGCCTGCCATGCTCAGACCTGCTCCTTGGCCAACAATGAAGGGCTCCGGGCTTCCTGTTTTAAAAATACACATAACGGCCTTTAAATGAGTGCCCAGTCATTAAATAATTAAACAACCTTCCCCTTGCTCTGAAGCCAGGCCTCATCCAGCCCCTTTATGACTTTCCATCTAACTGTGGTTGGGCATGAGGGACCCCAATGCTCTAGAGGATCTCCCCGGCCCCCCACCCCCATCACCAGCAATTCCCTCTCCTGTGTGCTGTCTTCTCTCTCTCTCTCTCTCTCTCTCTCTCTCTCTCTCTCTCTCTCTCTCTCTCTCTCTCTCTCTCTCCTTCCTCTCTCGCCTGCTTCAGGACAGAGTGTGGGGCAGCTGATCAGAGAAATTAGTTAACAATTTTGAATATTGCCACCACTTGTCATAGCAAGTCCCTGGAGCCTCTTTTCGCTCCTGAAAGAAGTTTCTAATTGTGAGATTGCACACCTCCATGCCGTGAGAGTGGGTGTCTGAGTGTAGATCAGCCACCATAAAGTTTAGACAACTGTTTCCTGGTCTGCTGCTTCCTGTGTCTCCTGAGACCCATGGGGTGGGGTGGGGGGGTCAGTTGGAGTCCAGGCATTCTAAGGTGTGGGTGGGATGCATGCCTCTATACCACATGACTACAGACTGCTGGCATTGGTTCTGCTGTCATGGCTCAGGGTTGTCCTCCCGTCCTGGAAGCGCTTGTGATTGCTCATTACCTGGTATCCTCCCACACAAACACTTCGCCAGCTTCTTAAGGAAACTTCAGGTCACCACTAAACTTAACGCATGTTTCCTGTACCATAATGCATTGACTGGAAGAGGGACAACACAGTAGGAAGAGGGAGTGACCTCAGGGGTCAGGGGTTGCTGGGCCTGCCAGGGGTCTATCTGCCAGCTGTAGAATAGGCTTTTCTACAGAACACCTGCCATACCTGAGTCTGGCCAGATCTGAGAGACAGGGGACTCTAGACTCTGCCTTCCTGGCAGCCAGAAGGAGACTGGACAGACTCATCACCATGACAACCATCTCCAAAGTGAGCCCCGACTCCAGGGCCTGACAGATCCCAGGAGATATCTAGGAAGGATGTTGGGTGATTCCCTTCAGCAGCTGTGCTGTTGGGGTCTATGGACTCCATTAGAAGCAGGTCTGAAGACAGTCCTTAAATGCTGACTGTGTGAAGAATCTAAAAATCATGAGGGGATCGTGCCGTAGGTGGTAGCCCGGGAGGGCACAGGACCATGAACAGGAACATGTGAGGGACAGCACCATGGATGAGAAAGAGAACATAGGAGGGTACAGAGCCAAGGACAGGAGCCTGGAAGAAGTAGTAATGTAGACAGGATCCTGGGATGGACAGTGCCACTACTGGAGAGGAGAGATAGTCACAGGTGGACCCCAAGCCTCTGCCCCATAGGGCATGCTAGTGCATGCATGTGTACGCAAGTGTAAGTGCATGCGTGTATGTGTGTGTGTGTTTGTGTGTGTACATGCCCAAGTGTGAGTATGCTACATATACCACATAAGAGGAAGTATGGTAGATGTATGTGAACATGGATGTGAGTGGGAATGTTTATATACATGAGTGAGGAAATATGCATGTGTGGATATGAGTACATGTAGTATGCATGACTGTGTTTGGTAAGTGCATTCATGCAAAGTGTGAATGCATTAGTTGTGTGCATGTGTGAGCATGTGTAAATGCACTCATATAGTCTATGTGTATATAAATGCAGGTGTGAGTATATCCACACAGAATGAGTGTGGTGGGATATTTGCACACTGTGTAAAGATATATTTCTGTGATTGGTTTAATAAAAAATTGATAAAAAAAAAAACAATATCTAGGGAGGAGGTATAGGCAGGATTTCCAGGGAGAGAAAGGAAGAGGAGGAAGAATCTAGGTGTACAGGAGACACAAAGAGACATGGAGAGGAAACAGGAGGTGCAAGATGGAAGAGAGGTAACACCACATGACAGGACACAGATTAATATAAGTGGGTTGATTTAAGTTATAAGCGCTAGTTAGGAACAAGCCTAAGCTATAGGACAGGGTTTCATAATTAATAAGTCTCCGTGTCATCATTTGGGAGCTGGCTGGTGGGACAGAAAAAAACTTGTTACAAGTGAGTACACCTGTGTAGGAGTATGAAACTTATGTATGTGTAAACACACTTCTGCAAAATGAGAAAAGGCTTTTTCCTCTACAGGTTTCAGCGAGAACAGTGTCCCCTAAACTGTCCAGGTACAGCCAATACAACTAGAGTGAGAGACTGGACAGAGCCAGGCACAGAGCTGGATCCCAAGACTGCATGCGACAGAGAGCACATCAGACTGTATTTGAAGTCTGTGTGCCCCATTTGGAGCCAACATACACCTCTCTCCCTTCCAATGGGCCAGGAAAAGGAGAATATGGCCAGTTTTCTATCTGAGGCTCCCTGGCCAGGAACCTCAGTAGTTCACTGTGAGCTTCCCAGATCTTCCTACAGCAAAAGCAGGTGACCACAGACACAGGTGCAGTGTGGCTGTGCTGTGAGCAAAGAGCAGGGCCCAAGCTCTTATGGCCCAAGAACTCTCCATGCCTTCAGAAAATACCCTAACGACCAAAGTCCATGGAGCCTGAGACCTCCAGCTAGAGTTAGACCAAGGCCTCCTGCCTCAGACTTGGTTGAAGTTCACACACTTATGTATGCAAAATATGCACAAGTGCACACACTTAGGGCATTTACACACTCACACACACATACCTTCACAAGAATGTATAGTCTCATGCTTACACCCCCATTTGGATTCACACACACACACACACACACACAAATTCACATGTTCAAGTACACAGGAGCAGTGTCCAACCCACATCCACTACCTTTGAAGAATTTGTTGAAATAAATTTTCTCTTGTTTTTATTTTCACTGGCACTTGAAGTTTTTATGGCATTATATTATCACTGGATATACTTTTGTAAAAAATTATAGACCAAGGGGAAGCAATTATGTACAAAGTATGAATTATGAAATTATTAAGTGAATTTCATAGACGTTAATTATAGGGACAGAGTGGTAGGCTCACCTTCCTTTTGTTCATTGGAGGTAGACAGCTGTTGGCATTCTCTTTTAATTTTTATGAAAAATAGGAGGCATTTCACCCAGCCCCTTAGTTTATTACCACATCAGGAAAAATCTCTGCTAGTGAAGAGTCAGGATTAGAGGTAGAGTGTTCTGTCCTACTGAACAGCAAGAGTACCAGCTTGGGGAGAGAGTACTATTAACTTTCTCTCCCAGAAAATCAAGGGCAAACTGCTCAGCATTGTTCCTGGCCTACCTCCTGATCTTGGGGAATCACCAACCCTTGGCTGATGTCAGAACCAAGTATGCGTTCTGTTGTGTTGTGTACTTAACAAATGGTCTGGGGTTTAGACTCTTCTAGCCTTCTGTGGGTTCCTTAGCTTATAGAGGGAATATGGTAATAAAAAAGCCTCAACACACACACACACACACACACACACACACACACACACACACACACACACAGAGTCAATGCAACAAATACATGTGTGAAGATTCAACCTAACAGAAACACACATATATTATCAATACAACAGGCATACATTTGAAGGAACACACAGACTGACATATACATAAATGTTCCATCTGACAAACTCATACATGCACAGGATGAATGGTCAGCCAAATAGATAGAGGCATGCACATGCATGAAATATCAACATAATAGACACACACATGAACAGCCAACTCCACACACTAGTAACCTGAGTGTTCAATACAAAATAAATGTGCATAGACAGTCAAGCCAGTAGACACACATGTGAATAATCAATCCAACAGAAACATACATGAGTCATCATACCCAATTGTTGAACCAATATAGATCCAATAGGCACACACATGAACAGTCAACCCAACACACACACACACACACACACACACACACACACACACACACAAACACTAGAGCCAACAGGTCCATATATGAACAGCTCAATGCAACAGGCTCATATGTGAAGTCAACCCAAAGGACACACACATGAACAGTCAACAGACATATGCAGCCATGACAGACACTTGTACAAACAGTAGTTGATACCACCCGTAGAAAAGTATCTAGAACTTTGTAAAACCAGTCATCAATGATGTCACCAAAAAACCAGCCACAGAACTAGAGACTGGAAGGAGTCAAGGATATCTAGTACACAGACCAGGCTTTAGTCACCACATGCTGAGAGCCATCCACTGTGAGTTGACCCTTGGTCAACAGGTTATAATAACCAGCAAACAGATGAGCAGCACATAGCCTGAGGAAGCAGGAAGAGAGCTGCCAGCAGACAGTCAGGAAAGTCCCTCTGAGCATGAGTCAGAGGTCAGTCTGGGGCAAAAGCATTCCAGACAGGTGGGATAGAGCTGAAAGGTGTGCACCAGAAGGGTAGACAAGGCCAGAGCTGGAGGAGGAACAGAAAGGAAAGGTTTACAGATCAAGGTCAGGCTGGGAATTCTCTCTGTTGCAATGGAGGGGTCAATGGCGGGGTAATGAAGTCTATGTGTTAAGTTAATACTCACCTGGCTGTTGCTCAGGAAACAGAAGGACAAACATTCCCCAGGGCTCATCTGGAACCCATATGGCTGCACCTTGCCAAGAGATCACCAATAGGTTTTCAGTGAAGCTGGTGGGAATTGCCAATGGTGTGTGTGTGACAATATAGTCTCTCAAAGGACAACCGAAACCACAGCTACTAAGGGATTCCAGAGAGTAGAGTAGGGAGGTATTCAGGGCAACAGTCCTGGAGTCAGGACAAGGGTAAAAAAAACGCTTCAATGTCATACCACACTTTTAAATATAAGACTAGAAAAATCAAGGCCACCTAAGTGTCTGTAGCCAGCCAGCCCTAGGGATACAACAGCAGAACTCCTCCAGGCCTGAACATTCTTATCCCTGATGTGTGGACTATGGAGGCCAGGGATCTCAGCAGTGTCATCTTCTTGAGTATAAGACAGATGAGCCCTGAGTGTGAGACCCAGTCTTGTCAATCCATCCTACTGGGGAGCTGGTTGCAGTGTTGATGCTTGATCGAGGATGAATGAGTTCCTCTCAGAGCTTTCCTGGTCAGACATTAACTTGTCTGTCTGGAGATTCATCTACTCATTTTTTTTTCATTTCTATGTAATAATTAAGTGGGGGGTTATCATGTCTACTTAGTAAAAATGGAATCTGGCTCATATGCATGCATCAGGTAAAGAAAGGCTATTCCACACCAGCCTCATGTCTTTCTCAGGTATGGACACAAACACCCAAAGATAAGGCTCCCATATTTCCCCAACTCTGCCTGCCTTCCTGCGCTAACTGTTGGACCAGTCATCTCCAAACTTTCCCGGAACAGGGAAGGGCCAGGGTTCTCAGCTCCATATGGCCTCCAACCTTGTACAGTTGCCCAAGAGCCATTTCAGTGGACAGTATACCCACTTTGAAGTGAGTAAAGAGTCTCAAAGCAGTAGGCAGTTTATCCTGTTCTCAGGTCAAAGGCAAAGCGGTTAGGAGAGGCAGAAAAATATTACCTCTGGACTACAAAATCAAA